ATTCTTTGTAATTCTTATTATATTTATATTATAGATTAAATCGATTAATTGCAAAACTATTGTATTACTTGTTGCAAAATCAATACTATATTACCAAAATAACAATATTATCAATCATAATATATGAAATTTGATACATATAATAAATCCATAATATGGATTTTATATAATATGGAAGTTATATTATAACTTAACTAATCTATTATAATAATACTTAACTGAAACTGTATTATAATAACTTAGCTGATACTAAAATATTTATAATAATTGATTAAACTATTCTATAATTTAATATTAATTTCATCGCCTATTTATTTTTACATTTCTTATATAAGATTGATAATTAAATATTATGGATATTTAGTATTGAATATAAGGAGGAAAAATTTAATACAAATTTTTAATGATTAGTAAAACTTTATAGTAAGCAAAGTTAATACATTGGTTTGGAATTAGATCACGTATTTAAAAATGTTTTGTTTATAATTATAATAAGCACTTTTTTATTATTTTTTTTATAACAGTATAAACATTTCAATAATACCTTTATATATAATATAAATGCTCAATAATTTATAAATTAAAACTTATATGCATGCATTAAACTAATTAAATAAGCTAATTTAATAATTGAACACATTCCAACTTTACATTAATCAAATGACATGCCTTTCCAGTGGTCCCGGAGCCTATAATAGACAGAAATACTGGGGAGGAGTTGCCGATATTGACTCACACCTACTATGCCATACAGAATCAGAGGACCAGTAAGTACTTGATATGGTTTGGCAAAGCGGGCACTCAGGCCGAGGATCTGGATTATAATAAACCCAAGTTTTGGCATATATTTCATAAACTGGACAAAGGGTGGTATAAAATGTATCACCACTTCTGGAGTCATACCGTTAGGATTGGCAAATCACATACAGATGAAGGCTTTTATCAGATTTATAATAGAGATTGTTGTACGTATACAATAATAAATTAATGTTTAATAGCTGCCCCAGGTTATAGTTTAAAAATATAACATTAGCTGAAAATTCAGTAAAATTATACAGGTATGTTTATAGGAACTATTAGATTATAATCATTAATAGTAAAAGTTATTATTAATAAATCTTATTTAAATTATAATTATTACAATTAATAAAAGCTATTTAATTGATTACTTTGATATATTAATAAGAGATTAGTTAAATAATATTAGCAAATAATATCGTTTCAATGGGTTATCGTTAAAATTCTCAGCTTTATTATAACCAGGGGCAATCATTTTTTCAATGAACCCATAATAGACTAAATAGCGATTTGTATGGACAGACAGCGCTGAGCACCCGAATGCCGACGCCGACATGAACGGCACTATCAAGTGCTTCATACCGGATGTCAAAAGTGATTACTTATAGTTTAATTGACGTTTCCTTCCCAAACAGGGCTCCAAAAAGGCCACAGATGTCGATCAGATGAAGCCATCACCCGACCGGCCCAACCCACTATTCAAAACACTCGTACCTATCGGTGCACTTATAATCTTAGGCATTGTCTTATATGTGATAAAGTATAAGGGTATTCCTGTTCAGGGTTCCCAGCCTACTGTTATATATACCCATAGTAATCCAGCTCATATATCCGAACCTGCCAACCCTCAAGGTATTACTAGTACTCTACCACAACAACAGAATAATAATGTTAACAAGTCACTTTTTTGATTGAATTAATAATAAATACTTTATAAAATGTTATTATATTTTATTTCCAATAGTATTATAAAATAATCATTGTTTTATTGCGATAAATATGTTATGCTGTATTTAATGACAATGATTATATTATATTTTCTAACATAATGACAATTATTGATATTAAATATCCGTTAAATAATACTACAAAAATATTTCTAAACATATCACTTAAGTTGATATTATGGTGTGATTGACTTCTTTCAATCAAATCAAAATCAAATTTAAATGAATTTTTGTTGCTGGATATAACATAATTTCTAACTATTTTGTTGATCAAATCCATGTGATAATAAACACCACTTTCCATCAGATGTTTGTAACTAAAATGATACAGTCAAAATAAATTAACTTAAATGTTAAGATAGTAAACGATTGAATAAGATTATAAATATAAATGAAACTTTTAAACATATAAACCTGGTCATCATTGTGTTCTTGTACTTATGGCTGCGTTTAACTAAATAATACGAATAATCTTGAAAATATTTTCGCTTGTTCACTTGGAAATGACTACTATATTTATATAGTGATTCCTTTATCGCTAAACTACAAAATGT